AATCTTTTGGAATAAAAGTAATTCGGCCTACAAAAAGTGACTTAGTCTATACGAATCGAATTACACGTGATTATTTGCTAAAATGTTTAACACCGACCTGTAAAACTTTCCAAAATAAGAAACTATATATGATGCCTAATCTGCTCCAATTTTTATGTTTCTATAGGCTGTCGAATTTCGAAGTAAATGGCTTCAATACAATGCGCCTAATGTTGTTGATTGCAAATCTTTTTCACATCTTCTTCTGATTGATTCGGAAAAAGGATATGAACGCCAAGGACGGTAAGTTGGTCTGTTTATGAATACTCATAGGACGCCTTATAAAAGAAACCGACTTTGTTTATATATAAGTCAGAATAGATATTAATCTGACTTCTAGTTTTGGGAATGGTTTCTTTTAGGAATTATAGACGACTGCAATGACCAAATGAATAATGTATCACTTCGTACACTTTAAACTACCAATCAACTCGACACATACAATTTTTAACAGGAGTACTTTGAAAATATCTATGCTCACTGAAGTGCTGAGAATTTACTTTCACAAAGTACTGTTCTCTTAATACGGAAAAGCATAAGAGAAAAGAAATTTAAGTAGGGTGCAATCATAATAATAAATATAAAGTTGCATTTAAGATCAACATAAACTGTCGTATAAAATAGGTTGTTCGTTTTGACAAGCAGAATCATTCATTCCAGGAACGGATAATGTACTCATCATCAATTGTTCAGGCGTTCACCTAGGGGAAATTAGCTGAGTGTTAGACTTATTTTTGTACTCTAGGAAAAACCATCTGTACTGTCAGTAGTTAAGTTAATATAACCAAAGTGTGGTGTTGCTTCAGCTTTGTTGTATACATGAAAGTACTCAAAGTTGAAACCACTGAACAGTCAGCCTATGGGATATGACTTATTTACCATTTGAATACTTGGTGGTTCTACTTTTTGTTGATCTGTTTATACACCACTGGAGCGCTGTAAAATAATTTTTCGATATTTCTTTTTAGTTATCAGTACTGATTCCTGATGAACAGCAATTCATCTAACTATTTGAACTGACAACTAATTTTCAGGTTCTCATACTACAATTAGTGCTAAATTGCAAGACGCATGGTAACGCATACATAGATCCAAGGTGCACGTTACAACCTACTTAGGTCAGTAAGCTATTGGGTGTAGGCAACTACTTACGCCATACACCTTGACGGCTTTTCTTCGTTTAGTAACTACGGTTGTTCTCTTAGTGCCAAGACACTAATCCCAAGGAAACACAGCTCACTATTTATGCTCACAAGATCTCAACATAAGTACACTTGAAACCATGACGTGGAAAGAATAAGCAAACTAACGATACTACATATTGTTGATGCACTAAACGTTGTATTTTGTTGACACAATTTGAAACACTCCGAAAGGTGTTTAGGTGTATTTTTGGGTGAATCGACGAATGACCACTACAGGGTAATTGACCCTAGAATGTCACCCGATGCAAGCAGCCATTATTGACATTGAAGATACGACCAGTATTCTAGTTTGACAACTATTAACCAGTAACACCTTCTATATTTGAATCGTCCCCCAACCAGTTAAAATCAGAAGTCAGATGCGAAGAGATCGGAAAGATATATTTGATGCGTTATCAATATATCGAGAAGTGTTTGCTCTAGTCTGGCTAGTGAACGTAGAAGCTGTTTCCCACGCTCAGTCGTAGCGTGATCTGGTGCGGATGCATGACCGGATGACTCCAGCGAAACAAGTCCACTTAAAACAATGTGGCCAGCATCCAATGTCGAACACTTAAAGAGCTGTTGATTTTGGGGAATTATTTACAGCTACAGTCAGTTACTACTCTTTTTTATTTTCCAACGTACGCCTATCCGATATACTTACGGATGAAGGAATACAACGAGTTTTCACTCGCAAAATACTGAAGAACAACCCACTAATTGACTGCAGTTCCCGATGCCATATCTTATGTCTAGAACCCCTCTGGAAAAGAAGGCTAAATTCTAATTTGATTCTCTATTTCAATCTCTCCAAAAACCTTACTTATCCCACATGTAATATAGTTCTCTCCCAAAACTCACATGAATACAACCCTCCAGACAAAGTATCCACGGTAAAAGTTGAGAAATACAGATCAAAAACTCGGGACATTATGGGCTCTCTACATGTATGGACTAAATAGCCTTATTTCCCTACTCTATGGTGGTATTAGATACCTTTCCCTCCCTAATTGCTTTTACTTGAAGTAGACAGGCAACTCACTGGACCTATCAACACTCGGTTGCTAAAGTACGCTCGCAGATACCCTAATAAGTCAAAAAAAAACTCACAATCAACTGCCTGCAACCAGTGGTCCTGCATCTATGGGACCTGTTACCCATCAAATAGTTAGGATAGAAAAAAACGACATCAGCACGAACTTAGCGATGTCCCTTCCTGTTTATTCTTTATCAGCTCTTTACTCTCCCGTACAATATGCTGCATTGCCGTTATTATTATTTCACCACTTGCTACCTTATCTGTAACTAATATATTTCTACACCTACTTTAGTAAGCAAATATCTTACATTATACTCTTCTCAATGCTTCACACTATAGTCAATTAAAGCATTGCATCGAAGCCTTACCCACAGTCCAGAATTTGTAAGTGTCTGATAAGCTTGTAAAATGGTACTTAAGGAAATAGTGTTTTCCAACAGGATGTGAAACACAGAGCAATGTGGGGGTAAGATTTGTATCCATAAAATAAGCTTAAATGCGCCTAACATCACAAAAGGAGGGAGGGTGGAGTGACTGACCAGCAAGCACTGATGGTGAGGTCGATGACTTCAATCCACCCATGTTTGCGGGGCAGAACATTTTGTTTGTATCAGGCTCTTTATGGATGAGAACAAGTCAATCAATCTGTGATATTGAGGTTGTCCTATTACACTCACCATTCAGACTCATGTATCTAAGTTTTTATGCTGGATTAACTATTCTACTAAGACGACCTATAACATGCTAACTCGGACTTTTACATGAAACCTGTGTCGCAGGCATCGGATGATGAAAAAAACAGACTGTAAAGGACATGGTTGTTATTTTACTTAACACGCTACTCTTTATATGCACTCTCTGTCCTAATAAACAGTCTTCCCCATTCCAACATTGACTTCCCTTCCTTCATTCGAACCTACTCCACCTTAATAAATATCACATATCGTTGTAGTTTTTGTTGACTAATATGCCAAAGTGTAGCATTGGATATTTAATTGCTTGTAATTCCACAAGCAGCTTATCAAGGGCGATGTTGCCAAAATGCAGTGATAGTTGTATCCAGGTCGCTCAACGTATATGATTAACTGATGCGTGTTGGTTGTCTTTGACTTTGACAGGGATCGATGATCTATTCGATATTCAGTGACCCAACTTCCGGATGCTTTGGCTAGAGCTCAGTGACATTTCACTGCCCCTACAACACTATCGATTTTTATTTTTTATGCTTATTTATGTAATCCACTTCATTGTTACCGTTGTCTCATAAACTGTCTTGATTAGTTTATTTATTTCAGATCTGCATTTAGATGTTTATACATGTTCGAGTGAAGCCTCATGGGGATCTAATGGAAAACAATATTGTTCGTTTATATATGTTGTTTTAAATCACAACATGGAATTTTCAAATATCACATGTAAATCATGTTCTAAATTCGTAAAACTACTTTTATTGTAAATATGGATTATTGATAATGTAATTATTAAGCGCCATTCTGCTATTTATATAGTTTTCAAAATAAAGCTATCTATATCGAAAACTATACTTTGCGCTATGTTCCTGAATGGAGGAGTCATTACCGAAAAGCTGTCAATAAGTTCATTTACTGCCTTTTGGTTGTTATATATTTCTTCGGGCTGCCTCAAACTAATTTTCAATCTCTCTTTCTATCAAAGGCATTATACAAAAATGACTCATACCTTTCATACGGACTCATTTTAATGGGGACTATCATGATTTCTTTTCACGAAAGCGGGAAACCAGAGACACATATTTCTCAATAAAAGCTCGAATTATAGAGTGGCGGAGGATTGTATGAAATAGATTAGTAGATACCAGAGCCAAAAATGAGGTATAGAGTGGCCTTAACAGTGTACAATAAGTGTGGCACTTTACCCCCTCCCTCGAATGAGTCAATAAGGTAAAATATGAAAATGCTTTATAAAGGTAGCCAGAAATATTCTGAAATCCCTTCTGTATAAAAAAATAGTCACTGATGTAACCCTGAAATCATTTTTGACCGAGACAGAAAGAATACCAAATAATCAACTGCTCGTAAAAATCATGAACGACTATGGTGCCATAGGGGCTCTCACTCTTATTAAATTGTCGATTCGAAAGGACTAGTGTTAGTAGAAGCACCTGTCAGTGAAACTTTGTTCTGTAATGAAATATGGGAAGAACCATTAGCAATGGCATTTTAGAAAGAGTATTTATAAGAATATCGACCCACTCTTTAGGCTAAATCTAATTGTTTGAATGTATAGAAGAGCTTGGCTGAAGACCATTAAGTCCTCTTCAGCGACATCAAAACATACAGAACTCTACGGCTTAGGCTGTTGTCAAACAAGTAAATTACGAACCTGTGGGGAGTAGTGTAACGTCGTGTACTATATTACACCTACATAGCTTATTCTAGTTTCTGGACAAGCCAATTCACCTATAACGTTATGAGTCATATTTTGATCTTGTTAATTATTCGCTTATTGACCTTGACTATTTTTTTATATGAGCGTATGTGTATGCACCCTTCTTATCCTGCCTATCACATGTCTGTCATTCATTTTAGTCTGACTATAAATGTTGATTAATGCTTGCTTATAACGAGTTGGCTTACCAGCCATCTCCCATGTATGTTATTTTTTCTTCGCTCGCTAACATTTACTCATGTGCTTACTGCCCTCTAGCCTATGTTATTTGTCAATAAAAATGTAGTTGCCACTTCCCTTTGTCTCCTGATATTATACACCGTTCAGATTGATATAATGACGGTTATCGAGACGATCGATCAACGAAGCACCACACTACAAACCCAATATATATCATATACGCAGGCTTGAATATTATTGCTATTTTATTTAGATCTGTATATTAAATGCAACGATTAAAAGTCATCTTAGCATTTAGGGGTATATTTATAGATATGATTTGAAATATTCAGAAAGGTTACTTAATATCCGAAATGGTTAATACATTTTTAAATAAAATACTGGAGAAATTGTATGGTTTTAATTATTATTCATGTTTTCTTCAGTGTCCAAGTAAATATTGTAATCATAATGATGATGATGATGAATTACAAAAGCCAATTCATTTGCAGACATGAAGATGTACAAATAAAAATATTTTGCCGAAATGTCTAGTTTTTTATTTTTGGTATTCCAGCATTGACATCACTTTCAATCCCGCATTCATTTTTACCACGAACTATTTTAAAATAACCTTTATCACCCCAATCACTATTCCATGAATTCGCAATTAACCAGTAGGGAACATTATTCTCTTCACCCCAACCAAGTAAACGCACCGCATGTCCGCCAAGTAGGGCACCACTAACGTGTTGATAAACACCTGATTTGTAATTTGGAAAATCGGCATACACTTCAAAATCTACTTCAACTGGTCCATTCCGCATTAGCTCTAACATGATAGCTTCTGGGTTTGAGTGAACCCGGTAGACCTTTTCACCTGTAAACGAAATGGTAACCAATATACAGAGAGAACTGTCGTAAATTTAAATCACTTATGAACATATATTCACAATATTATTTCGACTGATCTATTCCAAACCAAAGTTTGTTGAGATTGAAAAGAAATGTCTACTTATTTTTGGGAGAAGCTTTCCTGTTCACCACTTGTGTGAAAACCTTAAATCTCACGTATCACATGCAGCAGAAAACTATCGATTCATTTGGCAACCTACTTAGTCACTTTACGTATAACTAAGCCATTATAAATGGTCTCCGACAATATGAATATTAGATGAATGGGGAACAAACTGTAATGTCTGTCAGTAAGTCGCAACATAGAACTTGGTAGGTATGTCCATCGGTCCAAGTCGCGTTGAAAACTAACACAGAGAGATCAAATTATGTGGTGTTTGTATGAACTTATGATTCTCTTGTATTCGATGTTCGTCTGATTTGGAATTCCAAATACCTTAGGTTTGTCTGGGCTGACCTAGTTCGACCTGACAAATTGCGTTATTTCGTGGAATCCGAGTTCGTGTAATAATCTGAATATTGCTAACCATCACAAATTGTCAGGCGAAAGTATTAACAGCCCGGATGATGATAGAAAACACCAGGCATCGAAGATAGAATTCGAGAAAATATAAATCAGTTAAATAAAAAGTTTATTACTAAATCAGAGGTTCAGTACTTGGAGGAAAACAAAAAATTGATGCACCTGCGCCATGTCAATCAGACCTTAGCAACCGGTTATGATAATCACTCAGACCACAACAACGAGTCTGTCAATAACTAAATCGTCAGCGACTTCGTGGGCTGATGCTATGTTTTCGCTTGGCCACCCTTAAATTTACTCAAACCTATTACTACACCAGAAAACATAGCCCGTGGACGTACTTGGTTGTTAGATAGACGAATTACTTGTCCCAACTACTTCAATTGATAAAGATTTACTAACTGACGCTTATGTCCTAGAATTAATTGAAGAGTGAATATTTGGTCTATACATCTACGTCCAGGTCTGAAACCATCATGGCTTTCTCGGATTCGCTCTTTATGAGCTCTAGTTAGACGTCGAAGAATTATTGACGCTAATATTTTAGACACTATTAGTTAAAGTAATTCCTCTATGATCGTCCAAAGAGGGGTTTCGTTCTTTCTATTAGGTTGAGATCATCAGCGATCTGGACCAGTCAGATGGAATTACGTTCAGTCCCCAGATTTTAGTTGAGATCTCATTCAATCTAACTGCTATAACTGGATCAAAACCTTCAAAAATTTCAGGGGTTAGTGTATCGGGCTCTACTGCCCTCCCTGCCTTTAGATTGCTTATAGCCTTTCCAACCTCACTAAGAGCCTCAAGGGTTTACATCAATTCGCCATTCAGGTTGTGATGTGAACAGACATGACAAACAATGGGAGTTATTTTCGGGGACATTATTTCACTCAATCCAATGTTTGTGAAATACTAACGTTTAGTTTTCCATAGTCTAGTTATTCCATAAACCATAATTTTCCCTTTGATGCATGATTCCCTGCCATACCCTTTTCTATTCCAAAGCTATTGTACCCCTTGTACTCCATTTTTCTATCCGAATGCTTAGTCAGGATATTGTATTTTCTATTGTTTGCGTGTTTTAGTCGTGTTAGTCATTTATTTATTTATTCATAGACCTTTTTGCACTAAATTGAATCAGGAATAAATCGAGTAGTGTTACAGTTGGCTCGTCTTTCTCGCCTGTCAATCAATCAGTTGATAGAATAATTTTTGTTTCTCTGCCCAAAGCCATCAGTTTCAATTTGGACTCAGGCATTTCCTACCTCAAGGTTAAACAAATTAATCTCTCGTGTCAAGGCATTAACGTAGATCGAGACAAGTTCTCTCCTGTATATTATTGAGGAGACGGATCAAGGACGTAACAGGTTGTCAGGAAGTAGTTGGTAACTGAAACGTGGTTGAAAGTCATTCGAAGTGTTCTCGAAAGTGTTCAGCCCATCGATTCAATCTCGCGAATTGAGAGCGAATTATGTTCCCGTCCTTCTCCGAGACAGTCATACTAATAGCCGGAATTGCTGTACCCGTTTCCTTGATGAGCTTGAACAATTGTCTACAGTTATCTAATGCTGCTGCATTTTCCATCTCTTCTGCTTTCGCTACCTATGAATGCTCATGAACATTGGGTAAACATATTATTGGCCTACGTTTAAGCTGCCTCCATTCAATCATCGTATTGTGAGCCAGATAGGATGAGTTTCCAAGCATCTGGCGTTTTAGTTGACACCTGGAATCCACTTTTATTTAAACACATATATATTGGTACAAAAGGGCACCAGATACATATGCGCCACACAAAATAATGAAAGTAGGAAGAGAAGGGATGAAAAGATAAGGCGGGCTGAAATGTACAACCAGAAGACTCTTTCAGTTAGGAAAGTTAGAACCATTCTTTATGTAGAAAGTAAAAGAAGGTTGCAGCAGGATCGCCACTGGCTTCTATTCTGAGCCGTATCTGATAACGTCTCTAGCCACTGTGTTGCACCATCTCTCGGACCCCAACCAGGGAGTCGTGAAGGACCAACAAAAGCTAGCCCTTTGCAGCTTTCTTTCATGCCACGACACCATGTCATACACTGACCTCCTCTCCGCTTTTTCCAACCAGTCTCAGAGTCGGCAAATAATGCACGACGTGGAATTTTCTGGGACGACATTCGTAAAACATGTCCAAGCCACCGAAGTCGGTGTTTCAAGATGGTGACACCAATTGAATTATCGTCTCTGCTCCCGAACACACAATGCCGAACCTCTGCATTACTAACATGATGTTGCCACTGGATGTCAGCAATCCTTCGGAGACAACGATGATCGAACACAGAGAGACGTCTAACATCCTCAACTCGAAGAGGCCAGGTTTCACAAGCATAGAGCAAAACTGCTCTCACCGACGCGTTGTAGATCCGACCTTTTACAGCCAGACTAACATCACGAAGGCGCCATAGATGGCCGAGATTGGCACAAGCCGCTCTGGCTTTCATTATACGTGCATCAATCTCATCACTCACGCCACCACCAGCACTTATATAGCTACCTAGATTCACGAACTTCTCAACTACTTCGATCTGCTCACCATCCAGGGTGAGTACAGGATGAGAATCCTGCCAGTCTTGTAGGAGTACTTTGCACTTGAAGGGTGCAAAGCACATACCGTACCTGCGGACACTGATTGCCAACTGATTAAGTGCTGATTGCATGCCTTGGACATAATCGCACAGTAAGACAATATCATCCGCATACTCGAGGTCGAGAAGTCGTTCTCCAGGTAACATATTCACACCGCCATTACTTACATCCACCAGAGCTGTTTCCAGGATGTCGTCGATGGCAAAGTTGAAGAGGAATGGTGAGATCGGGCAACCCTGCCTAACCCCACTGCTCGAATGGAACAAGGGAGAAAGGTGGTTGTATGCCCTCACTCTGCCTGAGGTGTTCGTATACAGGGCCTTTAAGATGTTAATGAACTTCTCAGGCACACCCTTCTTCAATAGACAATCCCAGAGAACAGTCCTGTCCAACGAATCGAAGGCAGCCTTGATATCAAGAAACACTACGATTGTTGGCCTGCGATAAGTATGACGGTGTTCTAACATTTGGCGGAGGGTGAAGATGTGATCAATGCATCCTCGACCAGAACGAAAACCAGCCTGCTCCTCGCGAGTCAATCGTTCTCGGGTTTTAAACAACCTACGAAGAATGATAGAAGCCAATAGTTTGGACGCAATCGAAAGTAGACTTATCCCCCGATAGTTATTGCAGGAACAACGTGAACCCTTTTTAAAGATAGGGACGACAATTGACTCATTCCAAGATGTTGGAACACTTTCTTGCTCCCAAACCTTTCCAAACAACGCAGTCAGTTCCTTAACCAGAAAGTCACCACCATCTTTAAAAAGAGCTGGAGGTAAGTCATCTGGGCCAGGTGATTTGTAACGTTACAAGAGTTGGAGTTCCTTGAGGAATTCCGCCTCGTTTGGTCCCCGTTATCTGTCCGGCGACCAACAAGTCCCCATCGGCCACCTAAACGACTCTCTTCTGTGCCTAGACGCCCGACCTGTGCATTCAAGTCTCCGGCTAGTACTACAATATCTGTCGAACGCGCTTTCTGGAGAAGAACTGTTAACTGATGGTAAAACTCATCCTTGATTGCATCCGGGCTGCAATCTGTCGGGGCATAGGCGGAGATGACGAAAAGACACCGTTTCTTACGCCGATTTCTTCTCACTTTGATGGAACTTTCTAATCTAACAGCACATAACCGACTGTTAATGGGGATCCAATCGATTAGTGCTGCCTCAGCCCTAGCGCTTAGTGCAACACCAACGCCAGCAAGACCAGACGAAGGTGCCACAGGGTCCCCGGATAAGCGCACGTGGAACAAGCTCTTCGAGGCGACAGAAGGAGAGCGGAATCCACTAGTTCATCCTAATCTCTTTGTCTAAGTTACTGGTAGATGTTACTGCTGTTTTCACAGCTTCTTGGATATCATGCGAAGATACTTCGGATTGAATATCACTCTCACGGTTGGGTAGCTGTTTTTAACTTCTTTAGCATTAAGTTGAACTCCAAGGAGTTTTCTTGCTGTGACTTTTCTATTTCTGGTAAGACGCAGATGAATTCGTGCTGGAACTAGAGTGTGACCCGAGTCTAGACGTGTGCTCTAGAGTGAGTTACAGTGTTCTATTGAGCCTCCTCCAACGATGGATGGCAGCATTATTGTCTATGCGAGTCCATCGATTAGTCGATTGTAAAGATCGCTACGTCAGACGATAATTTCCCTTACGTTAACAGTTGGTGATTGTTAGAAACATACGGCTTTCTGAGCGCTGTAGCAGTAAATGGTCGCAATTATCTGTTCACTGAGTCACGACACCGTAATATTCGTCTGAGTGTCTTTCAGTTTGGTTCGGTCTTCCTACTTGAACATAAAACTCAAGTATAATTACATCAGAGCGTTTAGCCTCTAGAATGGGGTTTGATAGCTCCCTATAAATAGCATTTCTAGCTTTATTATAGCTGCAATTAATGGGAACGTAGGTGGAGACAACGAAAAATCATCGGAGTGTGCCTTAATAATTTCGAGTTTCTACTGCCTCGTTTTAAATCCACCTGTAGCCCCTTCGGGGGCTACTGCTGGTCCAAAGCCCGGATAAAGGAGGAGGCTTGGGCATGGGGTTAGCGAACCCATCTCGTAGAAAACTGAAAAAACGCTTACCAGAAAGAAATTATTCAAACCATTTGAACTCTGCCCTGGCAGTTAAAGGAAGATTTATGACGCCTGATAATGAAAGCCGAGATCCATCGAAAGTTATAGGCCTATACCCCTTCTGACGATCAGAGCAACCATTAATTCAAGGACATAGAACGTTTGTACCATATGGATGACCGAGAGAGTCATCCAATTTGCTGAAGAAATAAAAGTATACAACCTGGAGGTGCTTGGGATGAATGAAACACATTGGACGCAGGTTGGACAACAACGACTAGCTTTTGGAGAGCTCCTTTTATACTCCGGCCATGAAGAAGAAATTACACCACATACACAAGTAGTTGCATTGATGCTGTCCAAACAAGCACAAAAAGCACTTGTAGGATGGGAATCTCATGGTCCAAGGATCATCAAAGCCTCCTTCAAAACAAAGAGAGAGGGCATTACAATGAACGTCATCCAATGCTATGCGCCTACCAACGACTACGATGAAGATGTTAAAGATCAATTCTATGATAGGTTGCGGTCAATCGTTGAGAGATGCTCAACAAAGAACTTAGCCATTCTGATGGGAGACCTAAATGCCAAGGTTGGAATGGACAACGCCGGATATGAAGACATCATGGGACGACACGGACGTGTAGAAAGGAACAAAAATTAAGAGAGATTTGCAAATATATGTGCCTTCAATAAACTGGTCATAGGTGGCACCACATACCCACACAAACGCATTCACAAAACCACATGGATTTCACCGGATCACACTACATAGAACTAAATCGACTATATCTGCATCAACAAACAGTTCAGGAGGACGATGGAAGATGTGAGGAGCTGATGTAGTATCAGATAATCATTTTCTGGTCGCCAAGATGAAATTGAAACCCAAGAAGTACTGGACAACGGAGTGGACAACATCACAAAAGTTTAATACGGCTTTTATTCGGGATACTGACAGACTCAACAAATTCAAGATAGCCCACAGCAATAGGTTCTAGGCCTTTCATGATCTACTCAATGGAGAGGGAACTACTATGGAGAGCAACTGGAAAGGGATGAAAGAGACAATCACTTCAACATGTCATGAGGTTCTGCGTCACAAGAAGCACCATCAAAAGAAAAGAATCACTGTTGATACACTGAATAAGACTCAAGAAAGGAGGAACAAGAAGGCAGAAATCAATACCAGCCGAATAAGAGCAGAAAAAACCAATGCACAAACTGAATACACAGAAGTAAACAAGTAAGTGAAGAGGGGCATCAGAGCCGACAAACGTAAATACGTGGAGAGAAAGTCAAGGCACAAGCTGGAATACACAGAACCTACAAATAAATATGTGGAAGATCTAGCAATGACTGTGGAAAAGGCTGAAAGAGAAAGAAACATGAGGCAATTGTACGTTACAACAAAAAAACTCGATGGAAATTACCGTAAATCAGAACGACTAGTGGAAAGCAAGGAAGGCAAAGTAATCACCAACATTGAAGAACAACGAAACAGGTGGGTAGAGCACTTCAAAGAACTCTTGAATCGACCAGCCCCACTGAACCCACCCAACATCGAAGCAGCACCCACGGACCTCCCAATCGATGTTGGCCCACCAACAATTGAAGAGATCAGCATGGCCATCAAACAAATCAAGAGCGGCAAAGCAACAGGACCAGAACATACCAGCAGAGGCACTGAAAGCACATGTAGCGGCAACTGTAAAGATACTCCACATTCTGTTCAGTAAGATTTGGAATGAAGAACAAGTACCAACAGACTAGAAAGAAGGACACCTGATCAAAATACCAAAGAAAGGCGATCTCAGCAAGCGTGAGAACTACAGGGGCGTCACTCTTCTTTCAATACCAAGAAAAAGTCTTCAACAAAGTGTTGTTAGACAGAATGAGAGACTCCGTAGACGCCCAACTTCGAGACTGACAGGACGGATTCCGTAAGGATCGATCGCGTACTGACCAAATCGCAGCTCTACAGATCATTATGGAACAATCAATTGGATGAAATTCATCACTCTACATCAACTTCATTGACTACGAGAAGGCATTTGATAGTGTGGACAGGACAACACTATGGAGGCTTCTTCGACACTACGGCGTGCCTGAGAAGATAGTTAATATCATACGGAATTCCTTAGATGGATTAAACTGCCAAATCGTTCATGGAGGACAACTCACCGACTCATTTAAGGTAAAGACCGGTGTCAGGCAAGGTTGCTTACTCTCACCCTTTCTCTTTCTCTTGGTGATCGACTGGATTATGGAGACGTCAGCACCTGGGGGGAAGCATGGGATACAATGGACAGCTAGGTTGCAGCTGGAGGATCTAGACTTCGCAGATGATCTGGCTCTTCTATCACACATGCGAAAACAAATGCAGGAGAAGACAACCAGTGTAGCAGCGGTCTCAGCAGCAGTAGGTCTCAATATACACAAAGAGAAAAGCAAGATTCTCCGATACGACACAACATGCACCAAACGAATCACACTTGACGGAGAAGCTTTGGAGGATGTAAAACCTTTACATTTCTGGGCAGCATCATTTATGAATACGGTGGATCAGATGTAGATGTGAGGGCGAGGATCGGCAAAGCAAGAGCAGCATATTTACAACTGAAGAACACCTGAGACTCAAAACAGCTGTCCGTCAACCAACATCAAGATCAGAATTTTCAATACAAATGTCAAGACAGTTCTACTGTATGGGGCAGAAACCTGGGGAACTACGAAAGCCACCATCCAGAAGATACAGGTGTTTATCAACAGTTGTCTACGTAAAATACTTCGGATCCGTTGGCCAGACACTATCAGCAACAAGCTACTGTGGAAGACAACAAACCAGATTCCAGCGGAGAAAGAAATCAGGAAGAAGCGCTGGAAGTGGATAGAACATACATTGAGGAAAGCACCCAGCTGAGTCGCAAGGCAAGCCCTCACATGGAATCCTCAATGCCAAAGGAGAAGAGCAAGACCAAGGAATACATTATGCCGAGAAATGGAGACAGACATGAGAAGAATGAACAAAATTTGGATAGAACTGGAAAGGAAGGCCCAGGACAGAGTGGGTTGGAGAATGCTGGTCGGCGGCCTTTGCTGCATTGGGGGTAGCAGGCATAATTAAGTAACTGCCTCGTTTAGTCGGACAGCGCGCATGAGACTTCCCATTGGGATTCAATCTATTTGAGCCTGTTTTGTTTCAGAACTTTATACTGTACCTACACCAGAGAGGCCGTAGGAAGTAGAGGTGGGTCTCCAGATAATCGAAGGGTTAATCGTGAAAGTTCTTTCCGCTGATAAGGTGAGATCAAATGAGTAACTTTACTCGGGTCCTGTTTGCCCGTTTCGGGGACGCACCACACATCGATTGCTTGAGATTCAAGAATCCTAGCTGAAGAACCTTGTCTTTTATGGTACAAAGTTCGAAAATTAGAAGCTCCAACATGTAGTTTAGACTGTAGTTACAGGAAACCACGGATAACATTTTGTGATAAAGATATATGAGAAGGGTTAGTTGTGGGGATGGTAAATTTGTTAAAAGGTGAGGGAAGCATTCTGTCGTCAACATTAAGATCATGGGTGCTTGTAGAGTTATGAAGGCAGTTGTCACATCCCGGTTGCCATCACCATAGAAGGACATTTTTGTTGAGTGACTTGGAAAAGAAGTTCACTCAGTAGTGGTTTTAACAATCTACAGACATAACTTTTTTTTAAACATATACAATTATATCAGAATGAAACTCCAGGAATAATGAATGACTTTTAGCTTTATATGTCTTTGGTGTTTAAAGTATATTTTATTACAGCTGAGATAATTCACGGACTGCAGAAATCCATAATTTAACGGAATCTAAAAAATGCCCAGAGCTAACAATATAAAAATTATACTGAATGAGGTTAGTTATATCAAAATATCTATGCACACATTTCATAATAGCATAGCTATGTGTGAGTTGACTCTAGAAGAGAGTTCTATCTTTAAGTTTATTAACAAGATAACTAATGACCCATTAGTGAACACGTACATATTAGTGATTATTATAATATATAACGTTTCAAAACCATAAATGCAGCATGCATATGTATATTGTGAATCAGTGTTTAAATCGTTCAACTTACCGTACCATTTATCTTTCTCATATGGTATATTATATCCTGGTTGGCAATTTGTTTTACATGAAGGTGTTTCAACATCACCATTACATGAAGGTAATGGACCGATCACATGGTGTTCACACGGTGGAAATTCATAAGGTTGGCAACCGTTTGTTGTATTATATAAATCACCTGTTACTATACCTTGATTTTTCCAATATAACCATGCTGAATGTGGGAAGCCACCATTACAACCCATTCCACATGATGAACAACAAGATACTAAATTTTCTGCACTTAAAAATGGTTTATGCTTCCCTTTTGATTTTATACAAATACGATCAGACATAGCTTCAACTGCGCCAAATGCCTGTGGAATTATTGTAATGCAGGAAAGATAATACTTTAATGATTTGAAAATTGGGTTGACTGTATATAGTGTGTATGTGAAATGATTAAAAGAAATGAATTTATTTTGTTAAGTTGAAATTTAAAGGTTACAACTTCGTAGGAACAAGCAACAAAATTAATAAGAACATATCCTACTCCCAAATTGATTGTCTTGTACTAAACAAAATATTCTTTACCGTAATTAGAGATCGGCAAGTGCCCCTTATATGATATCCAAAACAACATGTATAAATTTATACATATCAACCATTGCAATTGCGCTGATCGAGCAGAAGGAAGAGTGTACATTTGATTCCAAGAATATATTCCAAAATTCTCAAGATCAAAAATACCAAAGGCTTTCAGTAATGTCATTTCAAGACATCTCTTTGATCCAGAGTCTCATTTGATACTCTAGTCTTTTAAAATTTGTTAAGGCCATAGAAATTAAACACACCATAAACTGGATTAACATTTTCTAAAAGAATCACGAGTAAATCTTTTTGCATCATGACAATATTAAGCTAATTTCATGATTTGCTTTCAAGGCATTTTCTCATATACTGATTACATTATTTTCAATTCTTTTCAATTCATAACTCTACTTTTAAGTGACTGATCTTAATTCATGTTATTCTTACTTAAGTGTGTTCAGCTACTTCGTAAAATTTTCAAGTCATTTTTTAGCTCTATGATCTTTAGTTATTATTCTGATGTTATGAAATATTTTACTAATATTTTATTTCAAAAGGGGTTTTGATGGATATTTCAATATTTTCATAGTTGAAATCATGAGTCAATTGAAATATTGAAATATCCACAAAAACCCCATCTGATGTATAATCATATGCTCATTAGTGACTGACTGTAAGGAATGTTTCCTTGAGTTCTAGTGGGAAGCAGTGACCAGTGGAGTTCAACCAAGTCTGTTGTAGAGATATCAACTCACTGAAGACAATTGGTGAACGGTTGGTCAACTTCGTGGATCAGTTGAAGTTAGACATTAACACCCGACCGTTGCTGCTACCTTGACGTGGTGGTCGGGCTTACCTATCGTGATGAGGCAATCGAGCTATACTGGCTGGAACAATTGTTCCTCAAGGTACTACCATGCCAGACAGGTCGGTTGAAGAGCGGTAAGACTAAAAGCAGCAATCCCAAGGTCCGAAGGCGAAGTCGTACTGCCGACTGTACAGAGGTGTGACAGCAGTAAAGTGTTTCCTTCAGACAACCAGCATGACACCGATGCTGCCTTCCCACAAGGAGGGGTGGGGTTAGAAAAGGTCGACCCTAAAAATGCACACCTCATCTTATCCCACGGATTTCCGTCTCCGGCGGTAAGGTCCTTTGAAGAACGGAGCTAACACAAAAACTACCCACAAAAAGGTCGTGTGTGACCGAACTCAAGCAGTTGTCCCTTGGGCACTGCGGTCACGCTCTCAGGTCACTAAGACCACTTCTAACCCAATTTCCTTTTCAGATACCCCTAGAAGAACTCTTCCACGGTGTGGGCAACCGGGAAGTGATAACTGCCCTCATAACTCTAACAGCACTCAAGACCACCGTATTCATAATCAATCTCCTTCTTCATTTTCTACTATTCCTTCTAACTTGACTTTCAACACTAAACTTCCTCTTTTGGCTTCCTCCTCAAGTGTCACCATGGCCAACGATTCTAGTGCGCGGAACGCTGTCCCAGGTCTACTAAAACCTTCTCTCCAAACTACACATTGGAGCCTTCAACGTACGTACTTTAAGTCAAATCGGTCAACAGGCCTCCTTAGCTAAAACCCTGGAATCTCGTACCACTGATGCATGCTGTGTCTCCGAAACACGCATACAGGATCCTAGTGTGGTCATTCACTTGACCTCACCTCGCCAAAATGGAGAGCCAACGAAATACACTCTCCGTATATCTGGCGACCCGTTGGCTAGTTCTCGTGGACTTGCAGGTGTAGGTATAGTACTAAGTACAAGGGCAGAACAGGCACTATTAGAATGGATCCCCGTTAACAGTCGCCTGTGTGCTGTCCAGCTAAATGGCTCCGTAAGAACTCGGAAGGATAGGGACACACGTCGTTGCCTTTTCGTCGTTTCTGCTTACGCTCCCACTGACTGCAGCCATGATGAAGTGAAAGATGACTTTTACAGAAAACTCTCTGAGCTTCTTCAGAAAGCTAGGCGCTCAGACATAGTAGTCGTAGCGGGTGACTTTAATGCCCAGGTAGGCAGCTTGAATCAAACAGAAGGACATTTAGATGAGTGTTTTAGTATTCCGGCTCAACGAACCGATCATGGTGATCGTCTGTTGCAACTATGCTCAGACAATCGTTTATTTTTAGTAAGCACTAATTTTAAGTATGAGAGACATCGTCTAACATGGCGACCACCTTCACCAAACCAACGATGGACTCAAATAGACCATATTGTCATCAGACATCGTTGGAGAGGCTCAATAGAAGATTGTCGCTCGTATTGGAATACTTGTTTAGACTCTGATCACGCTTTAATACGAGCGCGCATTTGTCTGCGCCTCAATGGACGCAGGAAAAGTACACTAAGAAGACCCATTAGGATTGAACTGGAAAACGAGAAAGCCAAATGCGAATTCCAGAAACAACTGAGTTCACATTTAGGCAGTTCTGTAAACGAGACTGACCCAGATGCTGCTTGGAAAGACACGAAAAGCTGTGGAAACAGCAGTAACATCTATTAGTTATTTAAATCATGGGGCTCCAAAAAACCAGTGGATTTCTTCTAAGTCTATTTCACTGATGGATTCGCGTAAACTACCCACTATTCCTAGAAAACCTGAATGGAACATTGAAGTAGGCCCCCGACCCTACTTGAAGTTCAAAAGGCTATAAGTAATCTGAAACGAGGAAGAGCAGCTGGTCCAGATGGATTGGCTCCAGAGGTCTTTAAATATGGTGGTCCAATTTTAGCGATTAGGTTGACTAATATTCTAGCTAAAATCTGGGAAACGTACGTAATCCCATCTGACTGGTCACAATCACTGATTGTCCCAATATATAAAAAGGGGTCAAAATCATCCTATGATAACCATAGAGGGATTAGTCTGACTAACATAGTATCTAAAATACTAGTCTCAATAATTATCGGGCTCCTAATTAAGACTCGTGAACTGCAAACACGAGAAAATCAGGTTGGCTTCAGACCTCGTCGTGGCTGTATCGACCACATATTCACCATTCGTCAAATTTTAGCGCACAAACATGCTTGTCGGCGTCCGACAATGATAGTTTTTCTTGACTTGAAAGCAGCATTTGACTCTGTAGACCGAGAGGTTCTGTGGCAGTGTCCGTCATTGAAAGGTGTACCTGAGAAGTACATAAACCTTGTGAAGGCTCTTTACTCGAACACTACTAGTCGAGTGAGAGCTTATGGCGAACTGTCATATGATTTTACAACCTCAAGTGGTGTCCGTCAAGGCTGTCCACTATCCCCATTTTTGTTTAACTTCATTATAGACCTGTTGCTGGAAATAACGCTCTCGTCGATTGAATTTTCAGGAATTGATCTTCTACCAGGAGGTCTACTTATCGACTTAGAATACGCAGATGACATAGTCCTGTTTGGTGAAGACACTTGCAAAATGCAGAGTCTTCTGTTGGAACTCAGTAATAATGCCAGGATATTTGGGATGCGTTTCTCCCCATCCAAATGTAAATTGTTTCTCCAGGACTGACCTGCGTCAACACCTGAACTAAGGATAGGGAGTGAAGTAGTCGAACGCGTGGACAACTTCACTTATCTTAGAAGTCTGATCAGCCCTAATGGGTTGGTGTCTGACGAAATCTCAGCACGGATTCAGAAAGCTCGTTTGGCTTTTGCCAACTTACGTCACCTATGGCGAAGACGAGATATCCGTCTATCGATTAAGGGACGAGTATACTGCACAGCAGTTCGTTCTGTCCTACTTTACGGCTGCGAAACATGGCCATTAAGAGAAGAAGATACTCGTAAGTTACTAGTATTTGACCATAGATGCCTTAGAAATATTGCTCGCATCTGCTGGGATAACCGGGTAAGTAATGGTGAGGTTAGACGCAGGGTATTAGTGAATGATAGTAAATCAGTTGATGAGGTTGTGGATCTTCATCAACTGAGATGGTTGGGCCACGTGTTACGTATGCCTGAACATCGATTACCACGACGCGCAATGTGGACCAGTGTAGGGATGGTTGGAAGAGAGTTAGGGGGGGCCAAACCAAAACATGGCATCAGTGCTTGAAGTTACTAACTTCTAGTCTGAGCCATGTTGGTAGATGCAGACTACCTGGTTGGGGTCCGCGTGACTATCGTAATAAATGGTTGGAGACTTTGTGTGACATGGCTCAGAATCGATCACAATGGCGTAGGTGTATTCACTCTTTAAACCTTGGGATTAAAATCGTTTCGTAACTTTTTTCCTTCCTATACTATATCTTTATATACAACCTTTCTTTATATACTACCACCACTAAATTAATTACTTCTATGAATCCGGTGTTGATCTTGTTGTGCTAACGAGGTATGGCAACTTGGACCGATGCATATATGTGCCTGATCCTACGTTGTTGCTGACTGACTGACTGAGACATTAACACCGCTGGATGTCGGGTCAGTGGTCTATCGGTTGAGTGCTCCGGCGCGAAGCTGGTAGGTCTTGGGTTCGAGTCTCGCGGGTGTGGGATTGTGGATGCGCACTGCTGAGGAGTCCCGTAATAGGACGAAACGGCCGTCCAGTGATTCCAGGTTTGTGGTGGTGGTCTAGCTTCAATTGACTGATAATTTCAACTATAAGAACATAATTTATTTGTTTGCAATTCTTCTCTAATCTCAATAATTCTATTGAGATCTTTGCTTCACTATGATGATGACAATTCACTTCTAATCAACTTCGTCCAGAGAATAAAATGAATTCATACAATTATACTTAATTATCTAACTGAACTTGCGGTGTGAGTACGTAATGTAGACTTTATTTGCCAAAAAATAATTTTCTGTCATTAATCACATTTATCCTAGATTCATTTAGTTAGTACAATCATTCTTGTTAACCACAAATCGTTATTTTAGGTCCACTAAAACATTATGAGGATAATCAGTTGTATTTGTAGGAAATACTACATACATTATTTCCTTTGGAAGTCGAAAATTAATTATACTATCTAACATGACAATGATTGTTTCTCCATCAAAACAATTTTAATCAAAGGAGTACTACACTAGAAAATAAATAAGTGACATGATAATATAAATGTTGTAAACTATTAAGAAGTATTTAACATTTTAACACTTACTACTTACCCAACAAGAACCACACGATGACTGATCACGTATTTCAGAGATAGAAGGACAATGTGGCCATTCTACCCTGGCATCAAAGCTCTTGGGTAATTCATCTGGTATATATCCAGTACATAAAGTTTCTAGTTGTTCACCATTTGGATCTGGTAGTGCACCTAACATCCTACGAATATCAGAAACTGTCCTAAATCTCGTAGTAGGAGCGGCTTTCCAAGTCGTATTGGCCTTAATATTTTATGACAGGAAGAAATAAGGAAGATGTTCAAATATATTATTGTATTTAACTTAAGATGGTCATTATTGAATCCAAAACTAATTTTCAATCTCTTCAAAACAAATATTCTGTTTAAAGGGTTTTCTAACTTTCTTATATACAAATGTCAAACATAAATTAACTTTGTTCGTGTGTGTGTGTGGGTGTGTGATCGATCCTCTGGAATAAGGTGACACGTGATGAAGTGGTAATTGCTAAGGGAAACCAAATTATTGACATGGAGGCGACTGTAGAATACAGGTTTTGTGGGTCACTAATCAACCAATGAAGTTAAGACATGACCATTTGGTTTAATTTTTGCCTACTATATCGAAAACCGTAAAGGTGATCTTTATTATCAGTCACTACCGACGCAACGAAAACTTTTAATTGGTTTTCCACATTCCAGGTTCTCAGGATGTACAACAAAAAATTATTAGCATTAGTGGCTTACATAAACGATCTTTTTTTCTTAGTTTATTCAACAGCAACATTTCCAATTCAATGGTTGGAATAGCCTTATGATTATATAAGCAACAAAGTGTCATTGAAAAGGAAATAAGTGATAGCTACATATTACTGTTAGGAAGACGGGAACAAAAGGAACATAAAGTTTAGATGACCACCTTTTGTTGAATTTGTTTATCTGTTTCTAAGGGAACTTTATTAATTAGTTGTTATACATTTTTCTGCACTACTGTCATTGACTCAATGATCGTTGCTGTACTGTTTACTGTTTATAAACTACAAGTTAGATAACCCTAAATCTAGTATTGAGCTTTGTACAGCAGTTATGAATCTAACGATATTTATTGTCCGTAATGCGTTATGTTATAATTTATATAAATAATCAGGTGGGTTTTTTAATCTAAGTAACAACAGATCATTATGATCACTGATCTAACTTGAGAGCGTTTTAATTGGAATCTTGAGAATGCCGGTCGATATTTACCTTGGTTATCGATAGTATGACGAATTTATGAATAGAATGTGTAAATTTGTTAGTGATGTAGGTAGAAGCACAATAATTACAATGACCAATTGATCTATTTAACAAAACAATGTTTACTCTTAATTCAATAGTAAGTTTAAATGATTGTCTGGAAACGACTTCATACCCCGATAAGATATCATCATCAGAATTTAGGGATAGATAATTTACAGATGGAAAAAGAATACAACTGAAATAATTGGCCTGAATATAACTGTAATTTTCTGTGATTTATTGGTTCAAATAGTTTGGGGCTAACTAATCGCTACTAAATAAGATAATATTGACAATCATACATACAGATGTCACACTTATTATAGCCTTTCTGGGATTTCCTAACTGACTTGACACTGAGCAAAAAGTGAATATTTTGTATGAACACATCATGTACACACCTAAAAGTAGATTTATTCGATCTCCCCTTTAATTATTTACAGATGGGATATAAAATACTACTAAGCAGATGAATTTTAAATGTGAAATATGAAAACCATTTGTACTGGTTGTTTGAATCTTCCCGTTGACGATGAGGACTGCAATTGGTCAGTGTCTTATTGGCGTATGTGCATGCTGTGAGAATTGCCTCAATATTGCCTTAAGTCACAATCATTGTAAGCAAAGATGGATAGTGGCTAGTAGTAAAATGCCAAAGGAAGGGTTTCGTGTCATTTGACACTCGTCAGCTGGATACACCTCTATCCCAGAGTAGATGTTCACAGCATTCACATATACCAATAAGAAGCTGATTAGTTGTAGTCTCCAACGTTAATTAGAAAATTCAAATAACTAATGCAAATGAATTAAACTTAACCCGATCACACAAGCTAGTACCTCTCTGGACTCAGTAGATAAATGAATAGTGCGATGACGTTTGAATCTAGCGGTACTAGGTTCGAATGTTCGGGTAAACATCAACTCTTGGATGCAGTCACATCCAGCTGTAGATCCTGAAGTTTAATAATCTATACCTATAACTTCAGTTATTTATTGCATTAATTAAACGGTATCAACAGTAAGGAATGTTGCACTTTCGACATATTTGAATTCTATTTGTCAAAGATTCTCAGAACTTCATGAGTTCCACTTGAAGTTATTCATTATTAAACACATAACAATAATAATTAATATAATTATGATATAAATTAATTTATGCTTTAATTACCTCATAATTGATATAGTTGATTAGTTCCATTGAGAGAGGTTGGTACATACGTTTATGTCGTCTAGCATCAATTTCATTTAAAGTCCCATAACTTAATAAGATGATTATGCAAAGTTGTAGTAAGTAAAAACTGTACTGATTCATTTTTATTACATAATAAACAATTAGAATAATTTAGCATATTTATATACTAAAATATAAACCATCAGTAACCATTTACACACACAATTATTATTTTTACTGCTGACTATTTGTCTATCCAGTGGAACACACATACAAACGTCCTGGTTCTACAGTTCACATATCTTATATGCATATTATGCTATAACAAATAAACAATTAACTTTCCAACATTTTATTGTAATTTGATCGATGTTTCCGGAATAATGTCACTAATCTGTATGATAGTACTATAAATGACCTTTGTGATTTGAATGTTGAGTAATAGTTAATGTAATAGGCATACAATATATGGTAAACACGTTACTGGGTTCGAGTCCCAGAGTGAACATCAACTCTGAGATGCAGGTACATCCAGCTGACGAGTCCCAAATAGGACGAAACGTGCATCAAACTGGATTCCACTGCTAGCCACTATCCGTCTTTGCTTACCATGCTTGTGAATTTAGGCTAATATCGAGGCAATACGCACAGTATGCACATATGCCAATTAGAGACTGACCAGTTGCAGTCCTAAAAACATCAATGGGAAGATCCAAACAAACAATACTAAGTAAATACAATATATGATTTGTGATTTTGTACAGTGTTAATTAATTGATAACAGTTCTTGAATATTGAATAGGTGTAAAGTAATAGGATGTTTATTGGTATAGGTTTGTGGAAATTGTTGAGTTTCAATCTCTACAATCTCTACAACCTTGTAGGGATAATTATAGATGGCGTCGAGTCACTATTGACTATGATCACCACTACATGAAAATTACGTGCCAGGTATCGGCGTGGATCCCTCGGTAGGCCAAAAACTAGAAGGCTAATAATGGTTGTAATAAGATATATTTGTTGGCGATCTCGTGGTATCGAAAGAATACCGAAACGTGCCAAAGTTTACAGGCTGAACTGTTGAGCGTAAGCGCGTTCGTGCAAGGTAAAAGACAAAGGAAGGAAAAGTGTCTTTGGTACAGTTAAACAAACAAATAAAGTAAAACAATCACTGATACAATTGGTTATGATAATAAATGTTCCCATTATACCAATCGCGTTCTCGTCATAAAGGTGAGTTACCACATGCTCACTATTGACCACCTTGACAATAGACTTGTTGGAGTTGTAGTGAGGAGCCTTGACCAATGGAGCTGAACCGTGTATGTTGTGAGACAGTTACTGACCGAAGACAATGGTAGACGGTGGCGCAATATTGTGGATTGGTTGAAGTTAGAAATTAACACGGTTGGATGTGGGCTCAGTGGTGTACAGGTTGTGTTATCACGTGAGACCCAACGTCATGGGTTCGAGTCCCACATGAGGGATCGCGATCTAAAATTCATCCATTCATGGTATCAATTAATAGGATGTTTGTTGAAATGGGTTATAGTTGTAGTATAACAGTAAATCACAATATTTATATCAGGGCTGTCAAAAATAAAAAAAGAGATATATTGATTCATTCAAATGAAATCTGGTAGTGGTTCGTAATTCCACCTCATAATAAGAAGCATAAGGAGTTTCAATAAGTGGCCTTCAATTTAATGAAATAGATCTATTTGACTGACACAAAAACAGTCTTCAATTTTACTTCAAAACTATGTTGATTTGTTGTATGAGTTAGAAATATTTATAATTGCCCATTTTATTATTATGTTGAAGGGGTACTAAAACTTACATGTGTTTGTAGGTTCAGTAGGTCGTTCAAAATAACTAATGAGATCACAAAATTTAGTTAAAAGCAACTAATGAGATCAAAGAATGAAACACAGAAAATGACACTGAACGAAATGTGTAGCGGATGATAGGGAATTATTTGAACCTATTGGTTTCTAGTTATGTGATCTACACTCTCTAAACATAGATTATGATTTTTGTTCGGTGCACAACTAGGAGTTCCACAACTTCCTATATACGCATTATCAATGGTCAGTGATTATATAGGGTATATCGCCTTGAGTCATAGATATATTTTTCATCTTCCAAAACGTCAATAGCATTCAAATCGTTATTTATTTTACACATTCTATGAATATGTTAAATTAGCACTACATATTACATGTGCTTATGGGTTCAGTGATTATTTCTCATGCGTTTATATTTGTCGGGATACCACTATGTTCTAATGAATTAAGAACCTACGTAGACTGCTTCCTGTTTGAAAGGCGTCTGTGTACTTATGGAAGGGTGGTCCTAAGCGTTTATCTAATTTGAACGTCAATGACAAAATATATCTAAAGCATTATGAGCAAAGATGGATAGTGGCTAGTAGTGGAATGCACGACGCGTGTTCCGTTCTATTTGGGACTCGTCAGTTGGATGTACCTACATCTCAGAGTTGATGTTCACTCTGGGACTCGAACCCAGTACCGTTCGCTTCAAACGCCATCGCGTTATTGACTTAGGCACTGAGTCCTGATAGCCACTTGCTTGTGCAATGGGGTGAAGCGTAAATCCAGTTAGTGTTATTTGCTTGTATCTCCCCATTGATGTTTAGGACTGCAATTGATCAGCCTCTCGTTGGCATATGTGCATACTGTGAACATCAACTCTGAGATGCAGGTACATGCAGCTGATGAGTTTGAATACAACATGTGTACATGTTCATTGAAATGTTGGGAATGAAACTTTGTGTGCATTCATTTTTATTTCTTTGTATACTCGGTTGGATTAGAGTGTTGTTTACTGAAATGGATCTAAAAACATAACATATGCATGAACTATTCGCTTAATGTCAACTCCATAATTAACAAAGAAACGAAGAAAATAATAAAGTATACAGTGTGAAAACACTGTGATTACAAGACTGGAGAATAAATCAGTATTACCAGGGTAAGTTAAGGATAAGAACAAATTGTTTTCTAACAAATAGAAGGGGTTCCAGTTTTTCGTATAGGCACGGCTTCAATAAAACTTGGGATAAAACCTTCAAAACTTCTGTATAACACTACAAAGGCTGACTTCTCATCAACCATATGACAGGTCTCAACCAAATGTTTATCAATGTATGAAGATACTTGTCTATCCTGTGATCTTATTTGACCATTGGAATACATTTGTTTCTGTAGCTATTTAAGTATGTGTCCAACCACCTTTTCTCAGAGATCGCGATTACTCCTCTCTATGTATGTGTTTCCGCACATGCATGTAAATTGATTGACTCAATAGAATGTGGCAATCGTTTACATGGTATTTACGTTTCTAGTGAAACATAGATCTTGACTTTTCGATAGTGATGAAATGGGCTACGTGAAATGTTTTGCTGATAGGCAGTTTAGGCCTTTCTCAAGATAAGTCTATTTGTGTCACCTCAGAATCGTAGGGTAAACTAGAATCAATTTTCGGGTGACGAAAATACAATATGTCTCATAATCTTGCTACCACTCCGATAGTTTATAAACTCCAATGAGCAACCGTTATTCGTCAATGTTTCAGTTGAGAGCTGTCTATCTCCCTCAATGGTATTGCTAGTGCAAATATGAATGATTTTATTGTATAATCCCCTTATAACTTCACATGTGTACCGGATTGGACAGTGACCATGAAAACTAATATACTGCCCTGTCCATATCGGCTTTTTATATACAGAACTTTTAACAGAACCATCTTGTCCTGCTATTCAGTATGTTTATAAAAGGGACCCGGTTATTCCACCTATACTATAAACACATCGGCCACAAATGATCCTAAACAACTACCAATAGCTGTGCGATCGATCCGTCCAAAATGCTATTCCTCAAAAGTGAATTTCACATTGTCAGTACACAGTAGTAATAATACATCGCTAAGAGCTTTGACAGACAATCTCAGCTGAAGAATATTTAATGGGACATAGTCATCAAAGCACAAATGGCTTTTCTAAGAGATACATTTGTACACAAACTGTTTGCATCAAAGGAGGACATTGTCTTAGTTTCTATATTAGCATCCAATAAGTAAATAATTCAAAGAATACCTACAAAATTGGTATCGAATAGGGTTTTATACTTTTCCAGCTATTTTCCAAGGCTGTATGTAGGTGACAGACACATGGATAGAATTAGACGTAAGAGGGTGTTGCACTTATGAATGTTTGGTAGTGCATATGAATGAGCATACGCCGAGCCCATAAGTTTCAATAAATTAGTTTTTTATTTTGCTCATAGCATTCACGTTACGTAGGTTCATCAAATTCGAGTTGAATTTCCTTTCTAACCTAATGCTTTGAAATGCTGATAAGTTAATACGCTTCTCTACTTTAGTTTAGGAACATCAAACTGATGCTCTATATTCACTAGTTCAGCATTATACAACGTTTGATTCTTTAAGAATAGAGAGGCTAAAGTGCTCATTCGATCATAGAGGTTTTTGAATTAGATATTAATTCCCAATTAACATATGCGTTTTAGAAACAGAGAAATTAAAACCCAGAGAAAGTGCTCCCTTTTCATAAGCAAACAATACAATGAAGGATAAATTGTGGAATATCTATTACAATTGATTAGGAAATGAATTAACATAATAGTTAAAAGCCGTGACCAGTGGAGTTCAAACGTGTGGTGTGTGTAGCAGTTACCCACCGAAGACAATGCTGAATGACCGCGAAATGACGTAGATTGATTGAAGTTAGACACCGAAGCTGTTGTATATCGTCTAAGTAGTTTAAAAGTGAAAGTTTCGCTCACGATACCGAAGGCTTCGCGTTTATTTGTGAATGCGGAATTGTGTATGTGCAATGCTGAGGAGTCCCACATTAGGACGAAACGGTTGTCCATTGCTTACAGGTTCTCAATGGCGGTCAAACTCTGATCGTTTCGTGATCTCAATGAAACTTAACAATTTCCACAACCCTATAATCCCGGTGATAATCACTGATTAGTCACTACGTCATAAATATATTCAAATACCCGTTTATTTAACTAAACATTTTATTTTACATCACAGATAAACACGTAGATTAGATCTAGATTATGCTTAAACTTTCCAACAGAAAGTAGATAATACTTTCAGAAGTGTATATGTTTCGTACTAGTTCACACTCATATTATGTTCACTTTCAATGTATACACTAAATGGATAATATAAACAATTTTAAATGTTCATTCACTTTAACAACT